GACCATCATCCTGCTGATGCGGGCCCTGGACCCCCTCCTCTATGAGAAAGAGACGCTGCAGTACTTTCACACCCTCAAAGCAAGTTGGGCCTAAGGGAAACAGACCGGGGACGCCCAGTGGGCAGCTGGAAGACAGCTGACCCACATAACTCTGCTGCTTCCCCACCAGGCTGTGGACCCCATGAGAGCAGCCTACTTGGATGACCTGCGCAGCAAGTTCCTGCTGGAAAACAGCGTCCTCAGGATGGAGTACGCGGACGTGCGTGTAGTGTACCTGGCCCACAAGGTATGGGCTCAGCACGTGCTCACTCCTTCCCTAGGCCTCTGCCTGCTGCCTCCACCTTTATCACCGGTGTCTTCCTCCCTGCCAGGTTGAATCCATCACCTTTCTTTTGGCCTACTCCTTTGCTAGGTCTTGCTTTTTTTTTTTCCAATCAGTCAGTTCATCATCCTATATATTCCCCTGGTTCTGAATCCTGAGTCATCAGATCTGTACTAGGGACCTAGCTCATTGGTAGGTCACTTGCCTAACATATGTAAGGTCCTGGGTTCAATTCCTACTACTGAAAAACAAAAAAAATATATAAGAAAAGAAAGGCCCTTCGTTACCCATGCTGTGCCTTCCCATGCTTCTCACCCTGGATCAGGGCCCCCAAAACCTAAAACCTGAATAGTTTCTAGAGACTTCTGGAAGCCTTCCAGGCTCTACTTTTACTGTTTCTAGTCCTTCCTAGTCATGAATGTTTGTTTGTTTGTTTTTGTTTGTTTGAGACAGGGTTTCTCTGTGTAGCCCTGGCTGTCCTGGAACTCTTTCTGTAGACCAGGCTGGCCTCAAACTCACTGGCCTCGATCCTCCTGCCTCTGCCTCCTGAATCTGGGTTTAAAGGCGTGCACCACCACCACCACCACTACCACCACTGCCACCACCGCCCGGCCTTCCTAGTCATCTAAATAAATCCGTTTTACCTCATCACTGCGGCCCACCACAGGCCCGCTCCTACCTGTTCTGTGTGCTGGAGGACATGCCACTATGCTGTCCCTTCCGCACACGCTCTCCTCTCCGGTCCACCCCCACTAGCCACCGCACCATAACTGCTGATCTGTCCCGTCTCTAACATGGCGTATGCTCCTGCGCAGTGGGCTGTCTGTCATATGCTGCTAGCCTCCAGCGAGAGTCTTCTGAGGTCCATATGGACCACACAGCAGGTGGCTGAAGACCTTCCCGCTCCGGCTGAGTTGTTCACCCCCTCCCCCCCACCGCAGGATCTGACAGTGCTCTGCCATCTGGAGCATCTGCTCTTGGTCACCCATCTCGACCTGTCACATAATCGTCTCCGAGCCCTGCCCCCAGCCCTGGGTGCTCTGCGCTGTCTCGAGGTAAAGTGCTCCTCCTCCCTTGCGGTCTGGGGTGGCCCTGTTCCTCTTTGTCCACTCAGAAGCTTGCCTGTGTCACGGCAGTGTCCGGGACCTCCTGGCCCCTGCGGGTAACTGCTTTCCCAGCCCGCGCTACCACCCAGCCTGGCCCCGTGAGCTTTTTCCACACACCTAAGCTGGTCACTCTGGGCTCCTCCGTGACTGGTACCAGTCCCCGGCTGCCTGTCTGACCTCGTGCCTCCCCGATTCCCTGCTCCCCAGGTGCTGCAGGCCAGTGATAACGCCCTCGAGTCCTTGGACGGCGTGGCTAACCTTCCCCGGTTACAGGAGCTGTCGCTATGCAATAACCGTATCCTTCTGTCTGTCTGCAGACAGCTCAGAGGGGGAGGAGCAGGCCACAGAGGGACAAACCGCAGACACAGACAGGGTCATCTCAAGGCAGGCCAGGAAACAGGGCTTGGGCAGGGTGAGCCGAGGGGAGATGATAGCCTGGGACTGTCAGGGGTTGTTATTAGCTTTTGCTCTGGGCTTCTGTGAAGTATGACTTTCTCAAGCCAAGGTCCACAGATAGGAGCCTGTAGGATTCTCACAGACCACACAGGAGTCTAGAAATCAGGAAGTTCGGTGTTTTTTTAAACATCGTGAACTCTGATTCCTCTGGAAAATGGGAGGTTAGAGCTCCTCTGACCCACGTTCCACTTCTAAGCCCCTTGTGAGTAGTAAGTGCCACTTGACGGCCGCCGTCCATCTCCTGATGATCCCACAAGGACCTGCTTCCCACAGCCCCCTCTTTAGCCAGCCACTTACACTCTGCTAAGAGCTTTATTTTTTCCAGGAGCGTGAGTAAGAGACCATCAAACGTGCTTCCAAGCAACAGCCTCCAGTTTTAGGGGTGTCCAGGAGCAGACCGTGGGGCGGGGTAGAACTACTGAGCTTTCCTTGACTCTCCTGCCCTAGGCCTCCATCAGCCTGCAGCACTTCAGCCTCTTGCCTCTTGCCCCAGACTAGTCCTCCTCAACCTCCAGGGCAACTCACTGTGCCAGGAAGGGGGCATCTTGGAGCGTTTGACTGAAATGCTGCCCTCTGTTAGCCGTATCCTCACCTAGGAGGCCCCGCCCTCGCCCTTACCTCTTAACTTATTGGGACTGAATAAAGAATGGAGAGGCCCCTCTAGGCTGCCAGGCTCCATTACTGCTGCCCGGATCCACCTCCTCCATAACCACCACCGTGCACCTTGAGAGACGGGAGGGAAGGACCTTGGGGTGTGGCTCTGCCAGAACCTCAGTGTTACAGCTGAAGTCGGGCCCAGAACTGGATTGGCGCCTGCCTCCAGGTTCGGGGCTGGCATAGAAGTTGGGGTCAGGTTCTGGTTTGGGCTGAGCTTCAGAACAGCTGTGTCCAGCTGGAAGAGATGGTGAAAACTTCTCCCGTGACTCCTGCGGCTTTCAGACCGTCTCTACCCCGACTCATTTTATTCACAGCTGAGTAGGCTCAGAGCCTCAGTTTCCAGAAAGAATGTGTCAGGGCACCTCGCCCCACCCCATTAAAACAACACTGTTGGTCCCTGTGAATTATATATTCTATGGTTGAAAGGCCTTTGGGAATACCTGATCCCATCTGATCCTCACATGCTTCCAGGGATGAGAGATTCGAACATTCCAACTGAAGAAGAAATGTTCCAACTTGCCCCGGGTTACTGAGCTGCGTGCTGAAGCCAGATACTATAAACACCTTGCTTTAGTGGTTTAGCTGCTTTTCTTGTTTCTGTATTAATACGAAATGATTAAACAGAGGCTAGGCCATGGTATTAAGATGGGATTCTAGTGAGGTGAGCGCACCGAGTTCTGGCTTTGAAAGCTGCCGGGTACAATCAGGGGTTAGGGCACTGAGCCAGACTTGGCTTAGTGGGGAGAGAGGATGATTGATGAGGAATTTGGCAAACCCGGCATTTTCCTGGTTCTTTGGGACCTGCTTGGGCTCATGTGTACTCACAAACCCTGCCCTTGACACCCTGCCTCTTCTCGTATCCAGAGTGATACACAAAACAACCTCACAGCGAAGCCCTCTGGCTGACCTGTCACATACCAGCCTTGAATTTTGATTTCCACCGGTGTGTACTGGAAGTGTTGGAAGTGGCGTAAAACCTCTGCTAGGTTCCAGGGCTTGCCAGCTCAACGGGGAAAAACCCACAGGATGCTTGGTCTGTTGGTCCTCTTCTGTAATCCCAGCACTTGGGAGGCTAACGCAGGAAGATTGCTGAGTTCAACATCTGCCTTGGGGCTCTCTGTGAAACCATTTCAAAACAAACCAAAAAGGCAGCGTGGGTGGAGGAGACCTTGGAGCGTCCGTTCCTACTCCTGAAATGCCTCTGCGTTTCCAGGATGCATTTCCAAAGCCATTGTTGCTGCATCTGCTCCTGGGTCTCTTTTGTCAACCCTGTTTTCACTGTTTTCTGATTGGTGGCCCATCGATAGAGCTGGAATACCAGTGGAATAGAGTAAGAGGTTCTGGCCGGGGACCCAAGCAGATTCTCCCTATAGATTCCTGGCCCCTCTTTGCCTTGGGGTGGTCTTAATGACATCTGGCATTTCCTCCCAGAGCCTGAGCTAGAGTCAGGAAGTACAGAAGGTAGGTTCCTGGAGCCGGTTGGTCGGGATTCCCAAGAATTCCAGACTGGAAATGAGGGGAAATGCTCACCTCCAGCTGCCAAGATGCTCTCAGTGAAAGAAGGGGATACCACATAGCCTGGAGAGGACACCCTGCGCACTCAGACCTAAACCATACCTAAAAAACTTCCCAGCTGGGAGGGGGAAACAAGATCGTTCCTCTTTTGACCACCTTAATCTCAAACTTAGGAGACAGAAAAAACTAGAGGACAGCTCACTCATCCTGGGGGATGTGGAGCAGCTGGATGGAGAGACAGACGGGGGTGCAGTGTGCCTTGGGATGTGAGAAGATCTGGTAGAGCTGGCTGGTCAGGGACGGGCAGGTGGAGCCAGTTTGAGGGCCTGACTGCTGATGTCATCTGTCTGCACCCTGGGGTACTGGGATCTTCCTGGCAAAAATGAATTCCAAGCTCAGGGACCCGTTCCACTGGTGGATACTACAAGAGAGCTTGGCAGCAGGAGCCTAAGTAAGCGTCTCCAGCTTGGAAATAAATCTGCCCTACAGGGAGGGCTGTGAGTGGAAGAGGATCCCACTTTGCTATCGCTCTCTGAACGTGCAGTGTGGCAAGATTCTCACCTCAGCCCCAGGTCTGACACGACTTGGCCCGACCCCCCTCCTTAGCATGACCTCAGTTCCTAGAAAGGAGAAAGTCCCGCCCCTCCTCGGGGACAGCCCCCAGAGACTGGCCTCTTGACCGACGAGGGATGAAGCAACCACACTACCCCTTTTCCCAGAAGCTCAGCCCCGCCCACCCTCCCCTCATAAACCACCTACCCGGCCCGCCCTACACCTTCCACTCGCGTGGCTGCATCCAGCCTGTTGGTCCCGTCCCATACGCCTGACCTGCTCCACCCCCGGCCCGGGACCCAGTGGTGCCATCACCATCACCGCTGCCAGGTGAGAGGCTCCAGCGTCCACCCCAGGGCTGAGCCGCTGCAGGTCCGTGGCTCTTGGGACACACAGCCCAGGCTCAGGAAGGAACGCTCTTCGGGGGTACCTGCTGTGGGCTGATGAGACCCGGTTTTCGTGGGGCCACTCTCTGCTTACGCCTGCTGTGCCCTCTCCACAGCTCTGCCTGAAGTTTGCCTTGACGTGAGGAATGTGGGGGACCCTGCCACCTACCTGTCTTTATGGGGAGAACTCTGTTACATGGTCCTGAGGCTGGACCTCTAAACTGAGAAGCCAGCAGGTGGAGGGACCAGTACAGTGTTTGGGGTTTGGGGCCGGGACAGGTGTACACTTAGGGAACAGAGTGTACACCTTAGGGATCCACCTCAGATGGATCCTCAAGGGTTCTCCACTGGACATTGTTTTTGGCTGTGATTTGGGAGTGCTTATAGCAAGGTGAAGAGAAGTTTTCTTTTTTTTTTTTCTCTGCAGCATGGGGTGCTCTTTCTGGGTGACTGAATGCAGTCTTTGGGGGCATCTCAGGGTTAGAATAAGATTATCTCAGTCACCTAGCTGGTACTGAACCAATTTCTCTGAATAGAGTTTCTGGATGGGTAGGATGGGCATCCTGGGCACAGGAGATCTGAGTGGGCTAGAGCATCCCCTGCCTTTTCTTTGCAGGCACAATGGAAGGTCCTCGCTCAGACGTGGGCCGCTGGGGTGGGAATCCCTGGCAGCCCCCTACCACGCCGTCACCAGAGCCAGAGCCAGAGCCAGACAGACGCTCGCGTTCCCGCCGAGGAGGAGGCCGCTCCTTCTGGGCTCGCTGCTGTAGCTGCTGTTCCTGCGGGAACAGAGCTGATGATGACTGGGGGCCTGAGCCTTCTGGCTCCAGAAGCCGAGGGTCCAGCTCTCGGGGTGGCCGGAGACCTGAGTCTCGGGGCAGCGCTGTGAACGCAGCTGGAGATGGTACCATCCGAGGTGAGGCCGTCCGCCTTAGCGGAGAGGCAAACAGCCTTGGTGGGGTCTAAGATTTATCCTGGCATCTCTAGGGGGCTAAATGACTTCCGGCGGGGGGGGGGGGTCTGGGCTCCTTGTGGACTCGTCACTGACCCAGGACTGTGGCTTGACAGAGGGCATGCTGGTTGTGACTGGCGTGGATCTGCTGTGTTCACGCTCGGACCAGAACCGCCGAGAGCACCACACGGATGAGTTTGAGTACGATGAGCTGATTGTGCGCCGTGGGCAGCCCTTCCACATGGTCCTCATCCTGAACCGAGAATATGAGTCCTCTGATCGCATCGCCCTGGAGCTGCTCATCGGTGAGTGGGGCCTGGAAGGAGAGGGGTAAAAGCCCTGGACTTGGAGGAAGGGCTGCTGCTAGGTGAAGAGAGGTCTTTAAGCTCCTCCCTGGCACCTCTGCCAAAAGAGGCAGGTGCAAGATTCTTGGTGTTCCCCTAGTGGTGATCTCAAGGAGGCCTTGGTGCTGCTGCGCTTGCCCCAAGCTGGCTGTCCTCCAGCCTCCGGGGGCATCTAGCTCACAGCACTTCCTTTTTGCGCTGGCCTGTGTCTTCCAGCATCGTTGGCTCTGTGTGCCCTTCCTTCTGGGTCTTGCTTGTTCATTCCCCTAGACCCCATGTGTCTATCTCTCTGCCTCCCCATGCCATGGCCCAAGGCAGGTGCCTCCCTCACCATGTTGCTGGGTGACCGTTGACTGCCCAGGCCGGTGATTATGCAGCTGCTGGGGGCGGGTGACTCTTCTTACCCTCTGATTACAGCCCAGCCATGCACACCCCAGCCTCTAATTTCCCAGGTACCCCTACCACCTCCAGAAATGCTCTGGGCTCTAGAAGCTGTGACCCCAGGGAGCCAGCCACACTACCCTTTGGTATCTGGGGTGTTCTTTCCTATGGAGCAAATGAACTCAACTTAATTTCCCCTCAGTCCAGTGGAACAGCGAGGGAGTCAGTGGGTGACAGCGGCCTCAGTCTCCCCTCCCTACTTGAGTTCATTGTCAGGGGAACAGGTTTGGGATGTTGGACCGGGGCTCTGCCCTGACACGCAGGAGAGCATGGGGCGGCCACCATGCTGCTCTGAGAAGATTGTCACAGACTGGTGTGGTAACCCCACTTAGGGACACACAAATTGGCTCATAGACATTTTGGGTGGGGCTGAAGGAAGTCTTAGTGTCTCTCCCATTTCCAGAGCAGCTCTCTCACTACCTGAATGCTGAATCCTTGTTCCTCTAGGAAACAGTCCCGAGGTGGGCAAGGGTACCCACGTGATCATCCCGGTGGGCAGGGGGGGCAGCGACGGCTGGAAGGCCCAAGTGACCAAGGCCAGTGGGCACAACCTCAACCTCCGCGTCCATACCTCCCCTAACGCCATCATCGGCAAATTTCAATTCACTGTCCGCACACGCTCAGAAGCTGGAGAGTTCCAGTTGCCCTTCGACCCTCGCAATGAGATCTACATCCTCTTCAACCCCTGGTGCCCAGGTAAACCAGCTGGGGTCAAGAGCAGGGGGCAAGTAGGTCAGGGCTTCCTTTCCTGCGATCCAGGTGGGTGCCTGAACATCTGGTCATAGGAAAAGACTCACATACCCCAGGGGAGGAGATGGAGGCCCCCCGTAGAAGAGAGACCCACCTCACTTGTGATGAAGGGCCCTGGCCACAGCCATCCTTCCTTAGAGGGAGTAAGCAGTCCTGTCAGGCTAGAAGAATCCACACCCCATTTTCTTCTGTGGATATGAGTTCTGCAGACCTGGTTAAGGGGAAGGCAGGGCCCAGGAAGAAAATGGATAGAATTTGCCATGTGCTTTTTGGGGGTACAGAGGACTTGGTGTACGTGGACCATGAAGACTGGCGTCAAGAATATGTGCTTAACGAGTCTGGACGAATCTACTACGGAACAGAAGCACAGATTGGTGAACGGACCTGGAATTATGGCCAGGTACGGCTGGGCTGGCTCTTGTGCACTCAAGGGAGATGGAAGTGACTGAGCAGGATGCTAGCCTATGGCTTGAGCATCACTTTGAGGGGCTGTGGTCACCTCTGCCCTCGTCCCTTCCAGTTTGATCATGGGGTGCTAGATGCCTGTCTGTACATCCTGGATCGGAGAGGGATGCCCTATGGAGGTCGTGGGGACCCAGTCAGCGTCTGCCGGGTCATCTCTGCCATGGTGAGCACCCTTGTGTCTTCCTGCCCTGCCCTTTATGGGTTTGCCATCCCTGTCCCTACAGAGAGTGTTGAGGGAAAGGGGTTTCATTCCCCTTCTCCCCGCCCCTCCGCCCCTCCACCTGTAACCCACCCCACTTTTCATGCGTTCTGTTCCAGCTCCTTTGGAATGCGGAGCCAAACCCCAAACTTGGCACACCCAGTATTCACATTCCAGTGTCACAGCTAGGGGTGTGGGGGGCGGGTGTGTTGGAGGAGAGGTGGGTGGGGTGTAGGTTGATGTCTAGTTCCTGAGGTTGTAGGGTTAGGGGCTGGGGAATCCAGAAGATCCTGAGCACCTCCCCAAAGCCAGCCACACCCTGTCTTTTCCCGGGCAGGTGAACTCCCTGGATGACAATGGAGTCCTGATTGGGAACTGGACTGGCGATTACTCTCGAGGCACCAACCCCTCCGCGTGGGTGGGCAGCGTGGAGATCCTGCTTAGCTACCTGCGCACCGGCTATTCTGTCCCCTATGGCCAATGCTGGGTCTTTGCTGGTGTTACCACCACAGGTAGTGGAGGGGATGGGTCGGGAGCGGCCTGGTCTGTGTAAGGAGGGAAGGGTTCCATTTCTGCCCAGCCCAGCTGTGGCTACAGGATAGGGTGCCACTAAGGGTGGATGATAGAATGGCCTTAATTATCGTTAATTAGTGTTAACAACCGAGAGAGGCCTAAGGGAGAGAAAGAAGAAGCAATGGCCAGGGCCTGAGCCAAGCAGGTGGCTCTGTAACCCCAAAGGCCACCTGGGTCTCCTGACCCCTGACCCCGGTGGTCCCTCCAAGCTTGTCCTCCTGGCTGAGGCCACACCTGCCGCTGAGCTCTGCCCCCGCCCTTAACCCCGGCTCCTCCACAGTGCTGCGATGCCTGGGCCTTGCCACCAGGACTGTCACCAACTTCAACTCTGCCCACGACACCGACACGTCCCTCACTATGGACATCTACTTCGACGAAAACATGAAGCCACTTGAGCATCTGAACCACGATTCTGTCTGGTGAGCACAGGGCGAGGGGTGGCCTGCCACTTGTCCTAAAGATGACCTGAGGCTTGATGCCGAGCCGTGTTAGGGGTGGGAGCTGGGGGGGGGGGTGGACCTGAATGGGAAACTGAGGCCCAGAGCTCCCTCCACACCCCCTCTAGGAACTTCCATGTGTGGAATGACTGCTGGATGAAGAGGCCAGACCTGCCCTCAGGCTTTGATGGGTGGCAGGTGGTGGATGCCACACCCCAGGAGACCAGCAGTGGTAAGGCAGGCCTCGCCTGGACCCTATCCGGACACCTCCTCAAATTCCTGAGTGTTAACCCAGGACATGGCCGGAGAGCCACATCCCTTAACCCTGCAGTTACCAACTGAACCACCATGCGGCCATTAGTTTATTTTCCTCTTTATTTAGCTACTTGACTTAATTTTATTTTTAAAGTTAATTTTATTTTATAATTTATCATGATTAATATACTCAGTTCAAAAGTTAAAAAAAGATTCAAGAATATTCAGTAAGAGGTTTCCTTCCCCCTGAAAAGCCAATTATTCTTACTTGCTTTTTAACTTACATATTCCAGATATAATTAATTAAAGGATACATACACACACACACACACACACACACACACACACACGAAGAAAAGATTATAAGTAATAAATCTGTACATGGAAGGAGAAAACAGAATAGAATTGAATAACATAAGGTGTAAAAGTTATTTATTTCTATGTTGGGGGATTCTCACCCCAAAACCTGATCATCAAAACGGATCCATTGGAATTTCCAAGGATGGGTGTATCTCTTTCTTCCCAGTCCTGGTTTTGTTTTTGTTTTTGTTGTTGTTTTTGTTTGTTTGTTTGTTTGTTTTTTGAGACAGGGTTTCTTTGTGTAGCTTTGGAGCCTGTCCTGGAACTCACTTTGTAGACCAGGCTGGCCTCCAACTCACAGAGATCTGCCTGGCTCTGCCTCTGAGTGCTGGGATTAAAGGCATGCACCACCACCGCCCGGCCCCAGTCCTGGTTTTGAACCCGAGGCCTTGAGCATGCTCAGGAAATCTCTACTACTGAGCTACACCCTGTGTTTTTCAGTTTCTATTTAAAAAATTCCCTTGGTGATTCTTAAGGCCACTCATCCTTGGGACCCATTCTGTGCCAATGGGCCGCGTGGTACACGGAGACTCTTGGAGGTGGATAACTTTGTCTGGGTCCCCAGAATGAACCCTGGCTCTCCTTCCCTTTGTTCCCCTGCTCACTGCATTCATGTACAGTATACAGAAATCGGGGCTCAGACAGGTTTCAAAGGACAAATCTCTGTATCATCCCTGCCATGACCTGGGGTGCCATGACCTGTCAGCTGCTTATCTCTCCTCTGTACCTACATACACCTCTCCGTAGAAGTGAGACCTGGTGTCCACTCTGCCCTCACACAGCCTCCTCTCCCTCTGGCTTCGGGTCTACCTCCAGGTAACTTGGCCTGTTCCACCAGCTGCCCCCTCCTCACCTCCACCGTCCTAGAGTAGATAGCCTCGACCTAACTTCCATTCTTCTTCCGGACACCCCCCAGACCACTCCCTGTCCATCATCTATGTAAAAAGGGTCCTAGGTTGCATGACCCAGCAACGCTTGCAGTGTGCTGGAAGGCTTGATCTCTGGTCCAGCTCTAAAAAGTAATGGGGTAGATGGGTGTCAGGCTCTGGGCAGGATGGTCAGGACCTAAGTCTACCTTGGATACTTCTTAGACGAGTGATATTGGCAAGGAAGCATCTCACACCTTTGTGTGCTGGGTTCTTTATAGAATACTGCGTGCGTGCGTGCGTGCGTGCGTGCGTGCGTGCGTGCGTGCGTGCGTGCGTGCGCGCGCCATAGGATGTGGTTGGGAGGATTAAATAGACACCATGTATCAAAGAGGTCTAGTAGCATGCCTACAACATCCAGCCCCTGGGTAAATGGAAGCCTTTCCCAGCTGTCTATAAGATGCTGGCAGCTACCTCACTGGCTGAGCCTGTTTCCCCATCTGGAAAAGGAGGCCAGAGCGTTAGGTGTTAAGACTCCTTCCTGTTGGATAGCGCTCACTTCCTGTTTACACTTTCGGTCCCAGCCAGCCTATTCCAGCCAGCTCATCCTCTCTCAGAAACCGGCCTGAGCATCCTAAGGACAGTCTCTTCTTTCCCACCATCCTTCTCACTTTGCCGTAAAGAGGTCAGAGTGTGCTGCACAGCCCAGCTGTTTCTGAAATAGTAATGGCGGCATCACAGCCAACCAGAACCCTTGTGGGCCCTGCACTGATTGTGATGAAAGATTGGGGGAGGATGTCCTGAACTCTGAGAACTGTGGACAGAGCAGCCAGCCAGTGCAGAGAGTGGGCTGACAGTGGGCGTGTCAGGCTGTCTGTCTACTTAGCCGGGCTATCCACAGGCCCCTCCCACTCCCACCCTGCCCTGCCCTCTGGGCCTCCTTAGACCCACCACCCGCCTCACTTCCCAGGCATCTTCTGCTGTGGCCCCTGCTCCGTGGAGTCCATCAAGAACGGCTTAGTCTACATGAAGTACGACACACCCTTCATTTTCGCCGAGGTGAGGGCTGGGCTCCAGGTGCCTCCTCCAGCAAATAGTCTGAAGCAGCCAGAGCTCCGGCTTTAGTCCTGAGCCCCCTGGTCCTGACTTCGCCGCTGACTGACTAGCTGTGTGACCTTGGGCACGTCACTCCTTCTCGAGTCTTGGTTTCCTCGACCGTAAAAGGGAGATAATAATGGCTGCTTGCTTCCTGTACTCAGGATCAAAAGAGATAATGGATATGGGGCTGCTTCCTACGTTGTAAAGCCAGCGAATAAGCATAAGGGAAAACTGTTATTACTGCCAAAATGGGCTACAAGGAGCCTCCTAGACCAGCTTCCTCCCTGCTCTCTATGGCTGGCTCAGTTTAGAAACTCTCCCAGCTGGGCCCTGCCTGCAGCTCCTGGGGTTGAGGGAGGAGGCCTCTGGGGGTCCAGCCTGCCTTGCTGGCCCACTCAGTCCTGCTGGTCTTTGCTCTCCCACAGGTGAATAGTGACAAGGTCTACTGGCAGCGGCAGGACGATGGCAGCTTCAAGATCGTGTATGTGGAGGAGAAGGCCATCGGCACACTCATTGTCACAAAGGCCATCAGCTCCAACATGCGCGAGGACATCACCCACACCTATAAGCACCCGGAAGGTGACCCTCTCCCCGCCCAGCCAGCTCCGGGCTGAGGGTTCCGGCAGAGCACTGGCTTACCCCCATCAATGGCCTAAGCTCACCTTTGACCTCAACCCCCCAGGCTCAGAAGCAGAGCGGAGAGCTGTGGAGAAGGCTGCCGCCCATGGCAGCAAGCCCAATGTGTATGCTACCCGGGACTCGGCTGAGGACGTGGCCATGCAGGTGGAGGCCCAGGACGCCGTGATGGGACAGGATCTGGCAGTCTCCGTGGTGCTGACCAATCGTGGCAGCAGCCGTCGCACTGTGAAGCTACACCTCTACCTCTCTGTCACCTACTACACTGGTGTCACTGGGTCTACCTTCAAGGAGGCCAAGAAGGAAGTGGTACTGGCCCCAGGAGCGTGTAAGTGCTCCCTCCCCAGCCATGTCCCTGGATGGTGCTCCCTCCCCAGCCCTGCCCCTAGATGGTGCTCCCTCCCTAGCAATGTCCCTAGATGGTGCTCCCTCCCCAGCCATGCCCCTAGATGGTGCTCCCTCCCCAGCCATGCCCCTGGATGGTGCTCCCTCCCCAGCCCTGCCCCTGGATGGTGCTCCCTCCCCAGCCCTGCCCCTAGATGGTGCTCCCTCCCCAGTCATGCCCCTAGATGGTGCTCCCTCCCCAGCCATGTCCCTAGATGGTGCTCCCTCCACAGCCATGCCCCTGGATGGTGCTCCCTCCCCAGCCCTGCCCCTGGATGGTGCTCCCTCCCCAGCCCTGCCCCTGGATGGTGCTCCCTCCCCAGCCCTGCCCCTGGATG